GAGTATCCATGAAATTAATCCGCACACGCACGTACACCACAGAAGTCCGCGAAAAATGTCCACACACACTGAGCCATTGTCCCGTCCGCGAAAAATGTCCATACACACTGCGCGATTGTCCCGACCGCGAAAAATGTTCACACACTGCGCGATTAAGTAGACCCGCGAGCTGTTCCTCCGTTGGGTTTAACACTCTATAGGTTACACAAAACTAACATTCAAAATAATTAATTTAAAACTATTTAACACTAACTTTTATACTAATTTTTAACACGCTATAATTAATAAAACCTACAATATTTAATAAAACCTGTAATAATGAATAAAACCTACGATATTTAATAAAACCTGCAATAATGAATAAAATCTACAATATTTACTAAAACTTGCAATAATTAATCAAATCTACAATACTTAATAAAACCTACAGTAATTAATAAGACTTACAATAATTAATTTGCACTATTTATAACGACGACATACGCGACACTACTAAATAATTCCTGAAATATTGAATATTGACTTACTCTATGTTTTATGTCCATTGCACATTTTATTACCACTTCGATCTTACTTCAAGTGTTTGAGGTTCTTGTTTCCGCAAAAAAATAATATGCAATTAACATGGATCATACAAAACGTATAATGATATTAGAATGAAACTAAGATGAAATTTGCCGCACCTTCATTACGATGCATGAAGAAACTAAGAAACTAAAATAAATAAAATTGTTAAACACATACATTCGGTGTAATATGAACCATTTCTAACATGGAATTGGAATTCGAGGTTGAAAGTTCTTTTTACAAGTTAATGTCTAGAGGGACGGCCGAAAACACAATAGGCAAGGTCTTCGTCGATGGCAGTAAGACGTTACAGGAAATCGGCGGGTGGTCGTCCTGCAGAAGACAAGAGGCAGTTTTATAATGTCCAGACGCGCGCTCCCTCGGCATCGTGGCCCCGAGTGGTGTATGAGAAAAAAATACAGATGTTGCTCTAAGAATATACGAAAAGAAACGCGACCTCCAAGACACTTTCCCAT